AAAGAATTATAGAAAAATAAGAAAATAATTATAAAAAATAAATAAACAATAATAAGATAGAAAAATTATAAAAAGTAAAATAAAAAAATGTAAAAAAAATAAAGAAAGAAACAATAAAAAAATAAAACGAACCCTGCCACCCCTGCCATTCGGTTTTCATTCTCCATTGATGGGGGGGAGCATTGCAGAACCTGGCCGTGGGGCGGCAGGGAGAGTAAATCCGGCCCTGTGTACAATATTAATTAATTATGTAATTTTTTATTTAAAAAAAGTGATGTTTCTATCCTTAAAAGTATTCTTTCAATGTTTAGCCAACTACGTAATTCAGCCAGCAAATGAATGATGCCCAGGAGCTTTGAAAAGGTGCACAGAAAACAGTTTACCTTTTTTTTAGTTTTGTAGAATGCATCATAGCCAGATTCAGGAATCCTTTGGCAGTTCTTCTACAGTATCAGTGTCATAATATCCTGAGCACATTTTTTCATGTTTCATTGAAGTGTACCCGTAGTAACACGCAAAAAAGTATTAATAACATTCATAATGCAGTAATTTCCTTTCGATAAGAAAACAGATGAATTCTATTATGTTATTTAACTGAATAGATGAAATACTCCATTCATGAACAGCCACACATTTCCTAGTATATTGTAAAACATCACAGCTAAGTGATTAGGGATACATGACATATATCATGCAGCACATCAGGGATCATTACCACTTGTATCAGACCGCTGTCCCCTTAAGTAGACCACTTACTGGTCACTTGGCGATTCTCGCTGCATCAGGCCGTGCTAGCTGCTTGTTTTGGTCCAATGTACTTTCTTTCCATAATCACTGTGTTGTTTACTTTACTGACGGAGAGAGAGGTTGCACGATTCTAACAGACGTCAGCATCTGTGGGGATTTTTTCCATAGTTCAAAAGTCTCTCTTGATACTTGTGTCAGCTCCTGTCCTGATGCTCACCTTCTCTTCCTCCTCCTCCAGTTTCTGGACACAAAGCTGCTCAGGATGTTCTCGGAGCCAGAGAGAAAGGTAAAACATTTCATGGATTCTTTTTTTTTTTGCTTACTTCATTTTCATTTTTCTTGGCTGCATTGAGCCAAGGGGAATGCATCTGTTAATGAGCAGTAATTGACACTAGACTGCTTTGTGCTCAAAGTGTAATTGCAATGATTTCTGATTACAAATGGCCTTTTTAATAATGCAGTCTACTCAGCTCACTTACCCATAGCAGCCAATCAGAAATGATGTATTAAACGATCTGGTCATTACAAAAGCTGACGGGTTACTGTGGGTTACTACAATTTGTAAATCATCATTACCCATTTAACTGCTTTATTAAATAAGTCATGATTATATGTTGTAAATGTTTCTTATTTGAAGAGGACTGAACTTTTCAAAAGCAATTCGACATTCTGGCTTCATCTGTAACATACCTATAATACCAATCTCCTACCTCTATTTCATTATAATTTAATTGGACAAGATATCATTCTGTTTAATATTGGCGGGAGTATTTGTTTGCTAACATGTTTTAATATTCTGGTCTTAATTTGACTGAACTGTGCACTTATGCTGTCTAGGTGACTAGCAGTCTACATTGTATAATTCACTGTAGACAGAAACTAAAGAGTTCCTCCAATGTTGGATGGGTCTGCTTTCTGAAAGTCATGGAACTTTACCCCCTTGGCTTTATGTTTCGAAGATAAGAGTAACTCCTTAAATGAATCCTGTTCTTCTAAATATAAGCTAAAATAAGGCTTCAGCATGGTGGCAGGCATAATAAGGTGCCCCTACTCTTGCCTTGTGTCTAATTTCTCCCACTCCGATTCACCCAAATGACATTCCTACCAAGTTCCAGCATTCTTTTAATAGATCAGAATTTCACTGAAGCTGGATCCAAGTAGAATCAGGAACTCTCTAGTACCTGCTACTAAGTTCCAGCATGACTTTTATTGGACCAGCATTGCAGTAGGTCTTAGATAAGGTAAAATAAAGCATTATGGTACCTGCTGCCAAGTTCCAATAATACTTTTATTGGACCAGGATTGCAGTAGGTCTTAGATAAGGTAAAATAAGGTGTTATTGTACCTGCAACCAAGTTCCAATAGTACTTTAATCCAGACATTATGGTACCTGCTACCAAGTTCCAATAGTACTTTTATTGGACCATGGTTGCAGTGGTGCTTGGACAAGGTCAAATTAGGCACATAATGGTGTGTGCTACCAAGTTCCTGTGTTACTATTATTGGACCAGGGTTGAAGTGGAGTTTGGAAAACGCAGAATCAGACATCTTATGGGGTCTACTACCAAGGTCCTGCATTACTTTAATTTATTTTAAATAAAAAAAATATACTAGATAGAATTTTGCACTCATACTGCCTAAAAGACTAGGAGTCTATATTGTGTAATTCCCTGCAGCTATAATCCAAATTGTTCCATGTATGTTGGGTAGGCCTGCTTGCTGAACTCCTTCACATGGAGTTTGACCCCTTTTGGCTTGATATTTTAGATATAAGATTAAAACTTTAAATTAAACTTGTGCTTCTATAAATAAGTAAAAAATGCGGCATCATGGTTGTAGGCCCCATGAAGTGCCTGCTCATGCCTTTTCTCTAATTTCCCCCACTCCAATTCACAAAACTGACATTCCTACCAAGTTTTACCATTACTTTACCAGGGTTGCAGTGGGCTTGTACAATGTAAAATTAGGCACATTATGGTGCCTGCTACCAAGAGCCAATAATACTTTTATTGGACCAGATTTGCAGTGAACCATGGACAAGATAAAATTATTCATGTTACACTGCCTGCTACCAAGATCTAGTATAACCTTTATTGGATCAGTGTTGCAGTGGAGTTTGGACAAGGCAGAATTAGGCACCTTCTGATGCCTGCTACCAAGATCTAGCATTACTTTTATTTATTTCAAAGGAGCACAGAATAGCATAAAAGGCAGATTTTAAACTAATTTCTGGCTGTGACAAAGTAACTTTACTAAATTAGCAAATGCTGATACATTACATTTTCCGTATTTGGGACCTAGCGTTTGGGAATATCTCTCCTGCATTGCCAATTGGTAAGAAAAAGGGGTTCCTGACAAAAGAGAATGCAATGGACTTTTCTGTTACAAGTTTGCATAGGTGGAAGATAAACGCCTTGGGCATGCAGGTAGTGTTCCCAGTATTCATTTTAAGATTTCATTTTCAGTACTGATTGGATTGTACCTTTAATGTCCTCTAAAAAGCATAGTAAGTGAGCAAACTATACTGTATAGCTGTTGCAGGATTAATACTGGTGCTGACACTGTTGTACTTGCTATGGACAGAAAATGTTTAACTGTCTAACTCAATTATGTAGAAAATTACTAACAAAATAATGATGCTTTTTTGTTTAAAAAATTCATTAGAATGCTTTTTTTTAATCTTGAGATTAAAAAAAAAAAAAAAAACTTGAGCTGTTCACTTGAGAACCACATGCTCATAATCATTTGACAAGTGTGTTTGGTGAATAAACACATTTGAATTGATTTCTAAAACCTGTAGAAAAAGTAAAAGTAGAGGTGCTTTGCCTTGGTCATCCATTTAAAGAGTATCGCCCAGATAAACAAGAGTTGTAATATTTAGTCTAAAATGATCATAACAGTACAGCCTCACCTTCTAATTATTTATATCCCTCCAGCCCCTTTTAGCTTAATTTAAAATGGCTAAGGATGATGCCTGGCCCTGTGCGGTAAAGGTGAGCGGTCACCTGAAGAATGACAGTTTTCTTCTTTGCCAACTGCTTGACCTCAAGCTGATACCACACACTAGGTTTAAGTCACAAATTTTTAATACGAAGAGAAGGATCTTTATTTTAGGGCCATTAACACCACAGAGCGTAACATTCATATCCTGCTGTATTTTGAATTGCGCTGCAATGTGGTTCTAACACACATTGGAGTGCGTTATTTCTTTTTTTTCCTTATTTTAAACTCAAAGCCATTGCTATGCTCCCCATTTTGTACAGGACTGAACAGCGCACACCACTCTGTATTTTTGTGTGACCTGAGGGCAGTGTTTAGGAACGCAGTCCCAGTGCAGCTGGTGTGAAGGGGTCGTTAGCTGTGCAACTTTCATTTCAAATCTGCAGCTAAAAATAATTGTCACTTTAAAAAAAAAAAAAAAACAGAACAGAAAAACAGTTAAAAAAGTAGAAAAATAAAAATAGAAAACTATTGTGGAGCTAGCAATGACAGCTAGCTCCGCCCAACAGTTTTCTATGGCCGGCTGTCAAAAAAAAGCACAAAAAAACCCCCTAACTCTCCCTGGCGCCCCAGGAGTCTCCCGTTCCCGGCCGCCAAGGAGAGAAACACTGCTTTTTCTTTTCTTATTCTGCATAGAAAAAAATATATATATTTTTGCCCATAGGATTGCATTGCTATTGGCTATTTCAATTTGCAATTGCCAATAGTAAACTAGCATTGCACCCGCCCTCTGCTGATGGACCTGATGGAGAACTGCAGCAGAGGGCGGGTGTCATTCTAGTTTACTATTGGCTATTGCAAATTGAGATAGCTAATAGGAATCTAGCAATGCATTCCTATGGGGCAAAAATGTTTCTTTTTTTTTTCTATTCTGAAACGGCTCCGTGTCAGAATAAAGAAAAAAAAAGAAAAAGCAGTGTTTCTCTCCTTGGCGGCCGGGAGCGGGAGACTCCCGGAGCGCCAGGGAGAGTTTGCTGTTTGGAGATCAGTGTCCCTGGTTAGCAGGTAACCAGGGACGCTGATCTCTCTGCAAGTGGCCGGAGCCAGCCGTAAGATCACGGCTGGCTCCGCCCAGCTGTCAGAAGCAGGCTGTCGGCCGGCCAATGGCCGGCCGCTCGGCCAGCTTCGGCTTTCAGCACGGCTCAGCGCTCGACTGAGCTGCTCGGCCGTGATCGGGAGCTGTACGGGCTATTGTGAATAGCCCGTACAGCACCCCCTCGGTTCTCCTGAACCGAAGGGGTCCTGGGGCCGAAGCTAGCCGAAGGATCGGCCGAAGCTACGGCTAGATCCTTAGGCTGCTTCGTGAATAGACCCCTATATCTTTGGAGTGTGTGAGAAAAAATTTACCTGGCGGAAAGCCAAACAAGCACAGGCAGATGTTCTAACCATTAAAGGAGAACTTTGAGGTGAGTGATTTCCACTCATCCTCATAGTTAGATCTGACCTGTGACAAAGAAACTGTCACACGTCGGCTCTATTGATCGGAAAGTGAGTGAACACATCCTGCCGCTCGCTCACTTTCCGATCATCTCCTTTCAGAGAACGGTGACTGCCAGTCACTGCTCCCCGCAGGGATTCCTCCCTCCCCTCTCCGATCCTCCAGCACTGAGTGGAAGAACAAACGGGGGATGGGGTGGGCACAGCTGGCTCTGCCTCTGGATAGGCAGAGCCAGCTGTGACTCACGCAGCTGGGTGGATCCAGGCAGTATTGTCGGGATCCGTTCCGGCTGCAGCACTTTCAGAATATCGCAGGCAATAGCCCGCTATATACTAAGATTTGGGTCACGTGAGGAGGTTAGTATATGTCCTCCTGTAAACCCTAAAGAGAACTATGGGGAAAACACTTACCCCATAGTTCTCTTCTAAGCCACTGTGCTGCTCTAGTGTGCTATTGGGGATATTTCCCTTCACTTCCTGTCCACAAAGTGCAACAGTTAGAGGAAATCCCCTAAAGTGAGGGGAATTCCCAGTTGTCATTAGATCAGTTGTCCCCATTGGAAAATTTCCCCTTACCTCTTGTTCTTGGGACAACTCAATCATTTGGGATTTCCCCCTCACTTTTTTCCCCTTGCAATAAAAGCTTTATAGTGGGTCCAGCACTTCCTCATGTTATCCAAAACTAAAAAAAAAAGTTTTGGTCTGCATGTTGTAATGACCTATTACACTGTTTACTTTATTGAAATAAAATTACATTTCATTTAACTTTATAGAGTGTGTTGTAATGTGGTATAGAGTATTCCAACACGTGCTGAAAAACAGTGCAGCATGTCCTACTTTTTTTTTAGC